TGGAAGGTGCTGCCTGAGGGGCCTTGGTGAGTTTCTGCAGCGCATCTGGTAGATGGTACACACTGCTGTTACTGAATATAAAGCCTGTCCCACCATCGACAAGGCACAAGTCAGGAGTGTGATGGAATACTCCCCACTTGCCCTGGATGGGGGCAGCTCCAACAACACTCGAGAAGCTCGACACCATCCAGGACAAAGCAGCCCCCCCTCAATTGGCACCACACATCCACAAACATTCACTCCTTCCTCTCCCTCTCTCTCTCTCTCTCTCTCTGTTTCTCTCAGACTCACTTTCTGGAATTCTCTGTTTCACTATCTTCCTCTCTCCACACTTTGCTCTCTCAGTTTCTGTCTATCCTTCTCCCCAACCCTCTCTCTCAAGTTATGATCTCACTACCTCTTTCTGTCTCTCTCAGACAACCCTCTCTCGGGCTCATTCTCTGTTTCTCTACAGAAAGATGTTGTGAAACTTGAAAGGGTTCAGTCAAGATTTATAAGGATGTTGCTGGGGTTGGAGGGTTTGAGCTACAGGGAGAGACTGAATAGGCTGGGGCTATTTTCCCTGGAGCGTCGGAGGCTGAGGGGTGACCTTACAGAGGTTTATAAAATCATGAGGGGCATGGATAGGGTGAATAGACAAGGTCTTTTACCCAGGGTGGTGGAGTCCAAAACTAGGGGGCATAGGTTTAAGGTGAGAGGGGAAAGATTTAAAAGGGACCTGAGGGGCAACTTTTTCACACAGAGGGTGGTGCGTGTATGGAATGAGCTGCCAGAGGAAGTGGTGGAGGCTGGTACAATTACAACATTTAAAAGGCATCTGGATGGGGACATGGATAGGAAGGGTTTAGAGGGATATGGGCCAAAGGCTGGCAAATGGGACTAGATTAATTTCGGATATCTGGTCAGCATGGACGAGTTGGAGTGAATGGTCTGTTGTACATTGCTCCACACATTGCTATCTCTCAGTTTCTGTCTCTTTCTCTCTCTCTCCTCCATTGTCTGTTGCAACAGTGGAAGGCAGGACCTTTGAGCACTTTTGACAGGAAAAGCATTACTTCATCATACACAGTCCCCGAGACAGGACACAGGCAGGAACACAATGAGGAAGCTATAACTTCCTGCTCTGTTCGTTTGAGACATTGCAACGGAAAACCAGCCTGCTCCGTGTGAGTGAGTGCAGGACTGGGCGAGGTTGGGATCTAGCAAGGAACTTCGATCGTTTGAAGATTGTCAGACCTCACAGATGCAGCAGCGACTGTGCAGCATTCAGCCTAAAGCTTCCCTCTCCTGTTGGATATAGCAGTTGGACGGTGCAGTGCAACTTAGTCATTACAAGTCGATGGTAAAACCAGCGATGGTTCAGCATTCCCAAATCCAGGGGAGGGTCATCCCAGACTGCGCGCACTTCCGAATCCCCACCCATCATCGTCATCACGGAGGCAAGTGGAATCTGAACACAGGTAGGACAAGATGGCATTAGATTGGGCAACCCCATCATCCTTCTCTCTCAAAGCCAGACATAATCATCAGGCACCGAGACCCCTCTCTACTCAATATCAGCTCAGACCCTCGATCACCAACTTCAGGTGCTGTGAGCAACACCTCCATTCCGCATCTTCACTCCAAATCCCTCATCCCTCCCCATTCTTGGTCACCTCCTCCAGCCCTTACACCCCCTCCCTATCTCTGTCACCTCCTCCAGCCCCTACACCCTCCTCCCTATCTCTGTAACCCCCTCCAGCCTCGACACCCCCTCCCTATCTCTATAACCTCCTCCAGCCCCTACACCCCTCCCTATCTACGTAACCTCCTCCAGCCTCTAAACCCCCACCCTATCTCTGTAACCCCCTCCAGCCCCTACACCCCCTCTGTATCTCTGTAACATCCTCCAGCCTCTAAACCCCCTCCCTATCTCTGTAACCTCCTCCAGCCCCTACATCCCTCCCTATCTCTATAACCTCCTCCAGCCTCCACACCCCCTCCCTATCTCTGTAACCTCCTCCAGCCTCGACACCCCCTCCCTATCTCTGTAACCTCCTCCAGCCCCTCACCCCCTCCCTATCTCTATAACCTCCTCCAGCCCCTACACCCCTCCCTATCTATATAACCTCCTCCAGCCTCTACATCCCCTCCCTATCTCTATAACCTCCTCCAGCCCTTACAACCCTCCCAATCTCTGTAGCATCCTCCAGCCTCTACACCCCCTCCCTATCTCTATAACCTCCTCCAGCCCTTACAACCCTCCCAATCTCTGTAGCATCCTCCAGCCTCTAAACCCTCTCCCTATCTCTGTCACCCCCCTCCAGCCCCTATACCCTCTCCCTATCTCTATAACCTCCTCCAGCCCTTACACCCCTCCCTATCTCTGTAACCTCCTCCAGCCCCTACACCCCCTCCCTATCTCTATAGCCTCCTCCAGCCCCTACACCCCCTCCTATTGCTGTCATCTCATCGAATCCTGGCCTCACGAGTATTCTTCGATCCCCATCCCTCTGCCATTGGAGGCCATGCCGTCAGCTGGGAATCTGAACTCTGGAAATCCCTCCCAACCCTCTCCCTGGCTCCCTGACTCCTCCTGTAGGACGTCTTTAAAACTGTGTGAAGGTATGGTCGCATCTCTATAGTAGGTACTAATGTCCATTTGTTTGGTAAAAGCTCTGTGAGGCACTTTGGGATGTTCTGTAGGTGCTATATGAATGTTGTTGTCGTAGGTATTGTCGATGCTCTCGTGCACCCACTCCATTCCTCCTTACCCCTCTGTCTCTAACCTCTTCCTTCACTCTCTCCTTCCTGTCGGTCTCTCATTTCTTCCCCACTCCCTGTATCTATTCTCTTTCTCCCTTTCACAATCTCTCTCTCTCACTCTCCTCCACTCTATCTCTCTCTCTCTCTCTCTCTGAATCTCACCCCCTTCCCCTAACTCATCTCTGTTTCCCTCTTGCCCTGTCAGTCTCTTCTCCCATCTCTCTCTCTCTCTCTCTTTCTCTCCCTCTCTCAGTGAAGAAGTTTACCTCAGAGTACAAAAGGATCTCGATCAGATGGGCCAATGGCCGAGGAGTGGCAGATGGAGTTTAATTTAGATAAATGTGAGGTGCTGCATTTTGGAAAGGCAAATCAGGGCAGGACTTATACACTTAATGGTAAGGTCCTGGGGAGAGTTGCTGAACAAAAAGACCTTGGGGAGCAGGTTCATAGTTCCTTGAAAGTGGAGTTGCAGGTAGACAGGGCGGTGAAGAAGGTGTTTGGTACGCTCGCCTTTATTGGTCAGTGCATTGAGTATAGGAGTTGGGAGGGTCATGTTGCGGATGTACAGGACATTGGTTAGGGCCACTTTTGGAATACTGTGTTCAATTCTAGTCTCTCTGCTACAGGAAGGATATTGTAAAACCTGAAAGAGTTCAGAAAAGATTTACAAGGGATGTTGCCAGGGTTGGAGGGTTTGAGCTACAGGGAGAGACTGAATAGGCTGGGACTATTTTCCCTGGAGCGTCAGAGGCTGAGGGGTGACCTTATAGAGGTCTATAAAATCATGAGGGGCATAACTAGAAAGGTCTTTTCCCCAGGGTAGGTGAATCCAAAACTAGAGGGGCATAGGTTTAAGGTGAGAGGGGAAAGATTTAAAAGGTACCTGAGGGGGATCTTTTTCACGCAGAGGGTGGTGCGTGTATGGAATGAGCTGCCAGAGGAAGTGGTGGAGGCTGGTACAATTACAACATTTAAAAGGATTCTGGATGGGTACATGGATAGGAAGGATTTAGAGGGACATGGGCCAAATGCTGACAAATGGGACTGGATTAATTTAGAATATCTGACTGCAGGCAATTTGGACCCTCTCACCTTAAACCTATGCCCCTCTAGCTTTGGACTCCCCTACCCTGGGAGAAAAGACTTTGTCTATTCACCCTATCCATGCCCCTCATGATTTTATAAACCTCTATGTGGTCACCCCTCAGCCTCCGACGCTCCAGGGAAAATAGCCCCAGCCTATACTCCCGTTCCCCGTTCCCCATCTCGTTCCGTCCATCTCTGCTTCCATCTCTCTCTCTCTATCTTGCCCTCCGTTGTCTATCTCTCTTTTCCTCTATCTCTCCCTCCTGTGCTTTCCCTC